ATTGTTTTGTTTAAGGAACATACATCAGTGCATACGGGTGAAGTATTATATACCTGTCCTGATTGTCCGATGACATTCTTCTCGAATGCGAACATGTATAAACATCGTCAGCGCCTACATCGTGCCGAATGGGAGGCTGATCATAAGAAGCCAATTCCTCCTAATATTGTGGGTCAAGCTAAGCAAGGCAGTAAATTAGTACAACTAAAACGATCAACAGTCAATAACATCGCCGTTATAACACAATTTCCTAATACTGATATATTACAATTTAAGCCTTCTTCTGAAAGTGATGAAAATGCATTAACAAATAGTTTTTATAGAAATGTTGAGGCTTCCATATGTTTTTATAGCGGCTTCATTTTAAGAGGGACACCTAAGTGTCTTAAATGTAATTTCCTTAACTATTCAAAGGGGGATAAAGCGAAGAATATCTGTAAGAATTTTGATTTGTGTAAATATAATCTGGTACGTAACCAATTTATTAAAAATTGAATAAAACAAGTCAGGAGACGTTAACAAAATGTTCAAAATACTGAGAACATGTACGCTATTTTTGCTAAAGGCATTATTGAAAAAAGTAAACAAACATATACGCTCTTGCTTATTCTCACATTTATAGGTAAATCGGAATCGGTCGTAGAGTTTTATCGTGCCTTTAATACAAGACCCCGAATACGACGATAAGTAAACACAATCAGGAGCTCTATTATTGGCGGCAGGCTAAGGGCACATATGCCCAAAGGGATTTCAATAAATAAATGGTATACAAAATTTTAATGCGTACTACAAAGGATGAACTAATCTGAAATCTTTGGGTAAAAATGGCAAAAAAAAGGGATTACACTCGTTTTTTTATTATACAAGCAAAATCTTGCTATTCCAATTTTATTTAAGCAAAAATTATATGTAAACAAGTTACTGTTTTTTCATACAATTAAATAAAGGGTTTCAAATTTACTACTGTCATCATGATGATGGCCGAACATAATACGATGTAGCAAGGGAGATCCAAGTAACTTCTTACCTTTGCCGCCCCCTGCCTTTAAGTTTCTGTTATTATGTTGTGTCGGCGAAGAAGAAGAAGTCGAGAAACTTAATTTAAAGAAATTTGACATAGGTGCTGAACTTTTACGTTCGTGTTTACCGCCCGCTTTATCTTTCAGTAATTCCCTTTTACGCCTACAATATATAATTTGAAATTTCGTTTTAGTCTCACCGGATTTATTGTATACTATAACTTTTCAATGTAGTGTCATAGTAAAAACTAATTTATTACTATCTGCGGATTTGCAAAAGCATTAGATACACCAAAAGAACGAACTTTGCTTGTACCAGTCTTTGCTTGTTTTATGATATTCGGAGGAATGGCTTGTTGACGATCTGCTTCATATTCAGTTTTGTGCAAACGTTGCCGATGTTTATACATATTGGCACTGGACGCAAAAGTCATTGGACAATTGGGGCAAGTGTACAACGCCTCACCCGTATGTACTGAAATGTGTTCCTATAAAAGAAAACAACTCTTACAGAAAAAGACAGAAAAAATTAACTTGAAAGTAAAACTAACCCTTAAATCTTGGCCACGCTTAAAAGCTTTCGAACACATGCTACATTTGAATTTTCGGATACACTTATGATTCAAGTATATATGACGCTTTAGAGCTCTCTCAGTAGTTGATACTTTACTGCATATATTACAACGATGTTCATTGCTTGTATTCTCATGGATGTTTTTCATGTGCGTTTTCAAACCAGCCAAATGACGATACCATGTACCACAAAGCTTGCATTGTTGCGGTTCCGGCGTAAATTTCCTTTCGGTATGCTCCATGTCATTATGTTTTCTTAAATTGTAACTATTTTTAAAAATTTTACCGCACTTATCACATATAAATAGTTTTTGTGGATCATGATCATTTTTTAAATGTTGCTGCAATTTACGATCCGTCGGTAATCTAAAACAAAAAAAAAATACAACATAATTTATGGAAGACGAAACAGTTCAGAACAGAAAATAAGGAATTCGAATATCGATGATAACGTTCTAAACAGAAGTAAGAAAATTATGAATGCTCGCCATTCTATCTTTTCCAGTTACAAAGATTGTGAAGCCCTTCACTTTTTGTATTCTACACCACTTGTGGTACAGAGAATATTAAGTATGTGCCGACGGATATTACAAGCAGAATGACTTGCGATAGACGTTTTATGATGCCGACCGATTCATAATCATTTCAGGATCATTTTCTATATCGATCTAAGCCTGTCTGCCCGTCTGATGTAAATTTTTATTCAAGCTACAGATCGTAGTTTTTGAGGTATTTCGATGAAATTTATTATAGTGGCGTTCTTTGTCCTAAGGACGAACGTTGTTGAAAATTGTGCGGATCGGTCCGCGTTAGCGGTCAATCCCCCATATAATGCCCTATTCCGAAAAATCGTTGAGATAAAAATTTTCAATTTTCAAAATTAGCTAAGCTATAGTATTTCGACATTTTAATTTGGTGTGAAAACTTTGAACCAGCTGGAGCATCTTATTGAAAACCCTCTCATATAACCAATCCCACTAAAATTGAATCTTTATGTGGAAATAAGTCCAATTTTTAACATTTCATAGCAAAAATTGTCTTATGATAGCAAATTGACAAACAAATCAGCCTTAAAGAATTTAGACAATGTAGGTCTATTTTTAGATCCGTAATGCTTATATGTCAAAAAGCCCTAATTGTTAATTTCTTTGCTATGAAATTTTGTTCATCATAGTATTTTAATGCAAAAAGTGAAGTGGACCTAATTTGAACACCATGGGTTTACTTGTTGGTCCCACCCCGTATAAGATTTCTTATGAGCAGTAAGCCTTTCGGAAAGAGGGAGAATTTTTAATATTTTAGATGAAAATTAATTCATAGTAGCAATTGAGCGAAAGAATGAACGGCAGAGAATTTGAATCACATAGGTATATTTTTTTGGCCCCTAACATAAATAAGCATTAGCACGAAAAGCAAGCTCTTATATATAGAGAAAATCTAATCTTCCTGTATGCGAGCTTTTATAAAAATTGTGGCTTTGCACGAAAATAACGTATACTTTTAGCGTATTACTATCAAAACGAAGAAAATAACTGTACTAGGCGAAGTGGTGGAGGGTATGTAATGGTCGGCGTTGACCCGCTATAATGTTCTTACTTCTTTTTTCTAATCTTTCTAAGCTTTTTAATCGTTTAACGCTTATTTCTCATGGATTTTTCAAGCGCATCCATTCTCAAGCCGTAGAATTCAAACAAAAGTGAATGGAGCGCTTCTTCACCTTTTTATTTCAATTGGGATTTTAACGAAATTTGACAAAGAGAGTTTGATAGTGCAAATGTACACATACAGATTGCTTAAGATATTTTATAGAGTTCCAAGAAGAATTACTGCACGATTTGGTAAGAGAATTCATTTATATATGATTTTCTCTTCAAAAGTTTTGAAAAAGTGCGTAAAAGTGCGCAATAATCAAACAACTTTAATTTAATAAAATTAAAAAACGGAATGTTTCGCGAATTCAAGCGAAAAAGGGGAAAATTACTAGCGATCAGGTGCACCCGCAAATAACAAAATATACCTAATGCTCTTTTTACCCGATAAACACGTTCCCAAAAAATTCGTGTAAGGAAACATATTGGCTAAACGGAAAAATTAATAGATTAGCCCCCGACCTAAAAAAGACAACTGAAAAGTACAATTAACGATACTACAAAGATCTTATTAGAGTTCATTTAAGAATTTATTTTGTGCTTACATATTTTAAATCTTTAAATATACTGTAAAATTAATAACCTTTAGACATAGCGGACGAGTAACACACAAAAATTGACACGAGATTAATTTAAAGAAAATTTAATTAAGAGATTTAAGAAATAATAAAATAAACGAAACAGATATATATATTTTATTGAGGCGCAACACAAAGAACATCGTGTTCACGTTGAGCCTTTTCTCTGCACATCAGCTTCGGTTGTTGATTTGCTGAACAACAAATTATAAAAAATCATACTTTGTAAAACGAAGCTAATTGCGTAAATAGAACAGTACCTCTTTACTTTGCGTATAAGCCACGGACGCCTTCAATGGACATAATCTTACTGAGTTATGAAATGTATAACTTTGCATAATATGCATTTCATGCATATTTGTGAGAGAGAATGAAAAAATCTTAAAAACAAATAAAAAAAGTCATCAGAAAAATTCATCCATGAAATTTATGGATTGTCGAAAATCGCGAAAATTATTTTCTTTCTAACTCGTTTTAAATTAATTTTAAAGTAAGACAAAATGAGAACGAAAGACAACAAGGTGTACTTCGCAATTTACAACTACGTTCGAAGTAGTAGTTTCGTGGAATTTCTACACATAAGGTTGAGATAATGGATATCAAAGACGAGTAGAAACTTCGTTAGTAAACCGGAACAGTTAACAAAAACTAAATTGCATTTACAAAGGAACACGATTTAATAAATTGATTACGTACCAGATTATATTTACACAAATCAAAATTCTTACAGATATTCTTCGCTTTAATCCTCCTTTGAATAGTTAAGGAAATTACATATAAGACACTTAGGTGTCAATTGTTAAAAAACCCTCTTAAAATGAAGCCGCTATAAAAACATATGGAAGCCTCAAAATTTCTATAAAAACTCTAACGTATTTGTTAATGCATTTTCATCACTTTCAGAAGGAGGCTTAAATTGTAATATATCAGTATTAGGAAATTGTGTTATAACGGCGATGTTGTTGACTGTTGATCGTTTTAGTTTTACTAATTTGCTGCCTTGCTTAGCTTGACCCATAATATTAGGAGGAATTGGCTTCTTACGATCAGCCTCCCATTCGGCACGATGTAAACGCTGACGATGTTTATACATGTTCGCATTCGAGAAGAATGTCATCGGACAATTAGGACAGGTATATAATACTTCACCCGTATGCACCGATGTATGTTCCTTAAACAAAACAATTTGAATATATATAAGATTGCT